TTATTTTTTTCCTTTTGGTATTATCTATACGTAAAATAAATTAAACTGGACTTATCTTTTTGATTTCTATCTTTACCAGAAAGATATGTAAATTTTCGACCTCGATTTTTGTAAAAAAAGGACTTTTTCAACTAATAAAATCGCTAGCATTGAACTACTGGGCCGATACCAAAACTATACAGGAGAAAGTTGTAGAGGGCTTAATTACCTTTGATTTAAGTGCTTGTTTGGTCAAATCGATCAATTAGAACTCGCTAAAGAGTCAAAACCTTAGGAAATTAAAAAATCAATTGAAAATTCATGAAAAAAGTGTGATCCAAACTACACAAGAAAATCATAGTGGGACATGGTGGGCAAAATGGCTGTAAACTATTAACAACAATTAATTGCTATTGACGATAATTACATATTATCACTAGGGATGGGATTTTAGTTATTTTACCTTTTTTTAACCGATGTAACTATTTGAAAACCAATAATGCCAAAATGTGTTTTAAAAGATTTTCTTTTAAATTTCCTATATGAACCTAACTTATTTTCACCTTTTTTACCTTTTTTGGAGGACTTTGCTTTTAACTACCTTTTTTATACTTTTGTTACCTATTTTTTTAACTTTTTTTCACCTTTTTTACCTTTTTTGGAGGTTTTTGCTTTAAACTACCTTTTTATACTTTTGTTACATATTTTTTAATTTGTCAGTTTATTTTCACATATTTGTTACCTATTTTTACGTATTTTTACTTATTTTATTTTTTTTGTTCTTTTTAAAATTTGCGCCAATATTTTATCCAGGGCGTGCAACTCAACGGTATAGAATTTTTTCTTATGGTTACAGACTGTAACAGTAACTTTCTTTACAGTTACCTTCTTTGTAGTGACTCACTACTAGTGAGCTTATGCTTTTGCTTTTGCATCTACAAGCGTGCGGAAAGTAACATTTTTCCGCATTAATAAACTATGTTTTTCTACTCCTATTGCATTTTATTGACATTATTTGTTTTTTTTCGTGAATAATGGTAACCAATATAACCGCTCGGCCTAACAATGGGAATATTAAACTCATTATTCCCGTTGTTAGGCATCAGTGATTGGCTGATTTCAATATTCACTGTTATTTGAACCAATCGGGTTTTAAATTGGGAAAAAGTTAGGTTAAAAGATATCAGATTTATATATATACGAGGGGCGACTATAATGATCTTTAAAATCGGGAAAAAGTGAGGTTATAATAAATTTTATTATCAATGAAAATTACATAATTGGAGTAAAAAAAGCATAGTATTACACTCGAAATATTGCGCATTATTTACTCGGATGATTTACGTCTCTCGCCTGACGGCTCGAGATGCAAACCTCATCCTTGTGAATAATAGTCTCCATTATCTCTTGTATAATAATATATTACCTACATATATTGTTTTTTTAAACAAACTTTAATAAAATGGCGATAAAAAATATACAAGGTGTCTCGAAAAGGGCGCACTAACGGTGACTCACGTAGTTAAGTAGTATGATACCACTGGTTTTGCTGTAATTTTAAACAAATATTCCGTCAAGTAGTTTTTGATTAATAATTGTTTTAAAATTGATTTTTATTCATTTTATTGTTTTAAAAAAGAAAAACATTTTTAAACACGTCTTAAAAATAAAACGTCAACATTTCTTAAGGTAGCATCTCCATTTAAATAAATAAATAACAGTAGACTTTAAGAGCAAATTTAGCGGTGCCAATGTAGTGTAGAAGTGTTATGTTTCACAAATTTTCCGTAGATTAATTTAAAAAATCGTTTCCAAACTCTAGAAACAAAATATGACCATGTTAATAGCTTAAAAATTGATTATTATAGTTTATTTTTTATGGAAATATCTAGCGGGATGGTGAGATACAAAATACACTGTGACGAATAAAATAAATGTTACTTTGAAAATTATTTTCTCTTGGAATCTGCTGCAAAAAAATCTGAAATTAATTTTTTGATGCCTTACAAAATCATAAATTACATTTTGAAGATATTATATGGAAACTCTTCAAATGGAGATACAAAGTTATGATAATTTTAAATTATTAAAGTTTTAATTATTTTAGACAAACTGTCAAAAAATACATTTGTCAATCATGTTAATTTCAGCAACCAGTGGATGCGTTGTGCACATGTATTTTGGTTGTGTTCTCTCCCGTATCACGTGGTATGGCAATGCAATAATGGCATTAGGTTGTCCCAAAAACTGATAATTTTTTTAGTGCGTTATTTTCTGAACCCCCTTGACCATACAGATATTTAAACTCAATTTTTCTTTATTAAGAAATATTAAAAAGGAAAAAATAAATTAAAAACACACCAAATTCATGCCTATGGTTTAGGTACCATTTTTTGTACATTCTACAGGGTGATTCAATTGTTTAAAACCTAAACTTTACGGTCCTGGCATAACACTGTTCTTAAGGTCTTTTTTGCACGTTCCGACGAGCGGTCCTTTTACACATTACTTCTCTTCTAGTCCTTCTCTATCTTTTCAATATGCTGTTATACACCAACCCGGTTAGTATGTTATCCACCCGTTAAATTTATTACCGAGTGTGTATATAATAGCATATAATATATCCTTCCACATTAAGCCATAATCCTAAAAAATGTGCCAAAGTTACAATTGAAAATGGATCCATGAGTTTATCACTAAAGTTTAAAATTATGCTTTTAGAATTTAATATCTAGCTTTTTATTTTTTAAATTATATAGTTTATTACATTAAGTATTATTGTAACGTATGTTGTTTACAGTGGCGGCCCGTGACATTTCATTTTGGTGAAGCAGAGGCAGGGTTTCGCCCTCATTTAAAGGCGAAGAAATTTTTTTAAACCCAACTTATATAATCTGACGTCGCAGTTCACAACCTATACTAAGTAAAAACTTAGACTGTGGTAGGGAAGGAATCCTCTACTTTGTCAATGAAATATATTTTATTGTAAAAATGACGTTTTTTTTAAATAAACCTCATTTTTGTCTAATTAATATTTCATTGTTCAGAAAGAACCACGTGAAGGTGTAGAAGTAAAGTGCAGCATTATTAATATATCCATTAGGTTTAAGCCCTAATCATTAAATTAATAATAGTACACCATCTTGCCGGAAAAAAGGGAAACAGGAAACAATATCGGTACAATTTCTCACCGTAATATCCATAATGACTAAATTTACATAAATTACCAAGTTCAATTAACTAAACTCACAGAATAAACCACTTACAAAAGAATCATAAAATAGACAAACTCATAGAATAAGAATAAACAAAATATTGCGTAAATAACCACAGATTTGTTCTTTAAACAGTTCAGAATTTTATAACCAAAACAAACCTAAAGAAGGAATCTGTATTTATTTTATTGGTTACTGTGATGGCTACAGTGTTAAAATATGTTTATTTTAGAATAGAAATATAATTTCGATTAAATCGATTTATTATAAAAAAAATAATACCATTTATTATTGAATTTTAAAAAACGTGTGAAGTATAATTTATCTAAAATTCCGCAACAGTGTTGCCACAACACCTGCTTATTTCCTTGGATGTAGGCGTGCCTGCCTTGCGTATGCTAATACGAGAGAAGGAGACAACTATGATATCACATTGTAATAGAACGAGACAACAAGGCTAACGCCAATCGTGAGTCTAAATTAGTTCAGGCATGCTTCTGAGCCAATCATCTAGCTATAAATATTAGTTTAAATTGCGGTTGTTTCAAATTCAAATAATTTAAATGTTGCTGGGTATTCCACGTATAAAATCAATCAATTTTATTGAATATTTCACAATTCATGTAATCCAAATATTAAAAATTTATAGTATATTATAGAAAGTAAAATATTTAAATTATACTTAATTTTATAATTCTCTATGATGAGGCACCGCCTCACCTGCCTCCCCTGACGGGCCGCCACTGGTTGTTTATCGTGTGGTCGAGTGTGTTCATTTGATATTTTAAAAATAAAATTTAAACATAGGTCGTCAAACGCTTAGTTTAAATGTTTAAATTAATTAATTTGACTACCAATGTTTATGAACTTTTTGCAATTATTTTCAGGTACCTAATTTTAAGTTAAAGTTAAAGTTACACCCTGTATATTATAAAATATTAAAAATAAAAAGGTAAATGTTAAATTCTAAATTCTGAATTATTCAACAAAGCTATACTTTACTACATTATAATAAGTAATCATTATACAAAATTGTTTTATCGAACTCTAGAAATAAAAATATCTCAAAAAGTAATAGTCATTAAAAATCCATAAAATGTACAATACCCTATAGTTTCTACAGTTAAAACGTATCCATAGTAAGTTTTTGTATACCTACCATTTTTTTAAATAGAAGTCAAAAATAGTTAACGATATATTGAAAATTAAATTTTTAAAATTTAATTTAAACACTCTATTATCTCAAAAACTAAGCGTTTGACGATCTATCATTATATACACTTTATAAATTAATTTAAAAGTTCTATCAGCTGTTAAAGTTATGCGTCAAAAAAATCAGGCCCAGGACTCTTGGTCCCTTTTTAATAAGTTTATTTAATTTAAATTTTAGGATAGGTTTATGTTACAAACGTATAGTTATTTTAAACAAATAGGGTATCAAGGAAGACATCATTATACAGTAGCATAAGTTAAATTCAAAACCGCAACCCATTTTACCCATGCCACGAAAAATAAGTATAATGTAAAATTTTACAACAGAAATTTGATATTTAACAGTAGTTGGAAGTTTCGTTTCGATATAATAAAGAATAATGAGCAAAATAGGGAGTTTTTATACTCTATTTCGTATAATAAGTTTATTACAGTGCCACATTTAAAGAATCCTAAGTCACATGATCCTTCATTTGATATTTTATTTTATTATATTGTTTTAATATATTTAATATATTATAATATATTATATTAATAAACATATTTAAGTACATTATATTATATTATAATAAAAATAAAATAAACTGCTATAATTTATAATCCTGCTAATATTATGGTGGGATTTTCAACACCATCCTTAATTTTCCTTAAAAACATGACAGCTTCACGTCCATCTATAAGTCTATGGTCATAGGTTAAAGCAACGTACATCATTGGTCTAACTTCCACTTTTCCTTTAATAGCAATGGGTCTTTCAAAAGTTCCATGCATTCCCAGTATTGCCGACTGAGGTGGATTTATAATAGGAGTTCCCATCAGAGAACCAAACACGCCACCATTGCTAACGGTAAAAGTACCACCATCCATGTCCTCAACGGCTAGTAGACCCTTTTTTGCTTTGTCACTCATATTTGCTAAGCTTGTTTCAATTTCTGCAAAATTCATTTTTTCTACACTTTTTATCACTGGTACCACAAGACCTTTATGTGTTGCTACAGCTACAGATATATCTACAAAATCTCTGTTTACAATTTCTAGACCATCTATCGTAGCATTTACTACAGGAATTTCTTGTAAGGCATACGCGGATGCTTTCATAAAAGCTGACATAAATCCTAACTTTATTTTATACTTTTTTTGAAAAGCTTCTAGGTTTTCTTTTCGAAATTTTATAATGCTAGACATATCAATTTCGTTAAAAGTAGTGAGCATTGCGCAAGTGTTTTGGGCTTCTTTTAATCTATTAGCAATTTTTTGCCTCATTCTATTCATTTTAATTCTGGACTCCATTCTGGAACCTATAGAAATTTTTAATGGTAAAGGAGGAGATGTGGCCATAATTACAGGTTTGCTGCTTGGAACTGGAGCTGCTGGTGTAGAACCTGCAGATAAAGGATCTGCAGAAACTAAAGGTTTTGTTGGTGGGGGTGCCACTGGTTTACCAGCTGGCTTTCCCGCTGGAGATACACCCGTAATATCAATCTTAAAAATTGCTTGATTAGGTTTTACTGTATCCCCATCTTTAACCAAAATTTCAGTAATAATACCATGCCCTGGCGCAGGTACAGTAACCGATGTTTTATCCGTTTCTATTTCTACTACTACTTCATCCATAGCCACGTGATCACCAACCTTCTTTTGAATTCTTGCATCGCCTTCGGTAACTGATTCTGCCATAGCAGGCACAACAACAGTTTTAATTTCATTTAGAATTGATGATGTTCTTATGTTCCTGATAACAAGACATATGTTCTTATAAGATGCACGTTTAACCCTAAACTTAAAACTGTTGAATACATTTATTAACATGGACATTTTTTAGAATCACTATTTTAAAAAATATAAGTCTAAGTGACAAATACTGTCATTTAAAATTTGGTTATTTTGTAAAACGTAAATTTTAATGTGCAATAATGAATCAAACAATTCGTTTGGATATAAGCCCTATATCAGGACCAGTTGCAAATTGTTTTGTTTTACTTATAAGCGCTCTTTTCTATAATATTAACCTTATTGGAAGGAAGGAAAAATATCCTGAAGACTCAAGTAAACTACTATTAAATGTAAATATGTTTTTTTAATTAATTAGTTTTTAATTTAAACTTTTTGTAGAAGAGCTTAGAAGTTTTTGATTTTATAATTGTTGGTGGAGGTGCAGCTGGTTGTGCATTGACAAATAAACTTTCAGTAATTAAAAAATGGAATATTTTACTTTTGGAGGCTGGTGACTACCCAAGTTCAACCACAGAGGTTTGTGGACAAAATTTAAAAACACAAAATTAGTTAATTTGTGTGTAGATTCCAGGATTTTATGGAACCTTACCATTTTCCGAAGAAGACTGGGTATTTCATTTAGAAAAAGAATCAAAATCTTGCCTTGGTAAAAAGAATAAAAATTGCACATTAACAAGAGGAAAAGTATTGGGTGGTACGAGTGCGATAAATAATTTGATTTACGTGCGAGGTATACCGGAACATGTTAATCAATGGAATTTTCCTGAATGGAATAGTACCATAGTCCAAGAAATAATGCACTTAATGGAAGGAGTTAAAGTAAGTAATAAAAATCAGTTTCAGTCACACAATTGTGTGTATTTTTGTAGAAAGAAAACATAAGCTCCCCCGATATTGGAACAGAAGGAGAAATAGAATTAAAAGTTTTCGACTATAAAGACCATTTTAAAGAGGTGCTCATAGGTTCTTATAAGGAACATGGATATGATAACTCCGATAAACGAGAGTATATTCGTTTGACAGAAAGTTTGGTCTACTCGAAAAATGGGGAAAGGTAAACATTCGTGAGCTATCTATTATTAAAATTATAAATGAGTTTTAAGGTTTAATATGGCAGAAGCATTTCTTTCACCTATAAAAAATAAGGCAAATGTGTATTTGGCTGTAAACTCTGAAGTACAAAAAATAAATTTGGCTAATAAGGACAATAGAACTCGGAGCTTGGATGTTAAAATAAAGGGAAAAGTTGTTACAATAAGAGCTAGAAAAGAAATAATACTAACGGCTGGAGCTGTAAACAATGCTAAAATCTTATTACTCAGTGGTATAGGTCCCAGAAAAGACTTGGAAAAAAATAAAGTTCCTGTAGTTAATGATTTACCTGGAGTTGGTAAAAATTTGCAATTACATTTAAATGTGCCTCTTTTTGTAGCAGTGACAAGGTGTAATACAACATCAGAAAATACTACAGAATGTAATCCGGATGTTTATAGTAAGGAGTTTTACTTTAGAGATATATTCAACTTTATTATGAATAGGAGGGGAAATTTGTCTACTATAGATATAAATGATGTGGTGGTTTATATGTACACCAAAAAACGTGGTGGAATGTACCCAAATATTGGCATTTATCACAATTATTTCAGAATCAACGATACAAATATGGATAATTTATTAAGAAATTTTCAATTTAATTCTAAAATAGAAAATTCATTGAGGAATGTTAATAAAAACAGATCTATTTTATTGTTTTCAATATCTCTTTTAAGACCATTAAGTTCAGGTGAAGTTAAATTAAATGATAAAAATATTTATGAAAATCCAAAAATAACTACAAACTTTTTAACTGCCCACGAAGATATGAATACACTTGTAGATGGCTTTAAAACTATAAGAGAAATGATAGAAGGTTATGGAATGACTTCACAAAATGCTTCAATACTTTATCTGGATATACCAAATTGTAGACGCATGAACCATACCAGCGAAAAATATATTAAATGCTACATATCCAACATGGCATATCCCATAACCGATACCGCAGGAACCACCAAAATGGGGTATCCTTGTGATAAGAAAATGGTTGTGGACAAGGTTTTGGAAGTTAGGGGAATTCGGTGTCTCAGAGTTGGCGATTCCAGTGTTTTGCCTAATATAACAGTAGCCAGTTCAATTGCTACGGATATTATGTTGGGATTTAGGTTAACCGAGATACTAAAATCCAAGTGGCTCAAAGGTTATTTGTCTAATTATACGATAGATACTCAAACAGGTATATAAACCAATAATGTAATATTTTATATGACATCAAATAAAATTACTTTTTGTTTTGAAATAAACAATAAAATAACTGAACACACAATATAATAAAATATGATTATACTTACTCAAAAGCTCACTGCTTTATTACTTACACCTCTACCTTTATTTATATCTACGTATCCCTCGCTCGAACAGGAATCGGCTCTTAAGAAAAGCGACGCAACACGCGCTTCCTGTGCATAATAAAAAAATTGGCTAATTTAGGATTTAAATTTACCGCAACATTAATTTTATTTAATTTAAAAAAATTGCAGTTATACAGGGTCCTGCAACAGTGCGTCGGGCTTTCCTAGTACCGTTACAGTGAGGGATAGAAAAAAAAGTTTCTTACAAAAAATTATTGGTTTAAAAATCTTTATGCCGAGAAATTATTTTCACCAATACAGGTTGTTCTATTTTTGCGGTATAACAAAAACATACATTTTTTTTAAATGGAACACACTTTATTTATTTAAGTTTTCCGATAACATCTTTCAACCTCTACATTGTTGTCCATTTACTTTTTGATTAAAATACAGTGTTTTAACTTACAATTTTTTCGTATCGACCTCATTTTTTAAAGGAAAAAATAACTTTTAGCAATAATCTTAGTACGGTTAATAAGCAACATTTTAATACTAAGCAATTTAAATTTAGTAATACTGGGTGTTCAGAAATAAATGCCAAACTTTGGAAACTTCAGAGTGGTTTAACTTATTTTTTTCAAATGGAGTGCACCATATTTTATGTCATTATTCGATAGGTCTTTTTCCCCTCTTTAATGTGGTATGCCATATCTTGTGTGTAAACCCCATAGTTGTTGAGATATTCAATATTTTTTACAAAAGTAATCATTTAATTAAATTTCTATGCACTGAAGTAGGCCGTGCTGAAGCAAAATGTAAGTAATTGTCAATGTAACATTTGATAAAATTTTCTTATGTTGAAACTCGAAATGTTAATTAGTAAAGACCAGATTTTAGGCAAAATACTTTTCGTCAATTTTGATGGGACATTAAAAATTCTTGATGCAAAATAAGTTTTGGGCATTTTTAGTGAAGTTTAATCCAAAATCATTTTTGCCTTGTTTGCCTCTTTTATACTTTTAGTGCCTAAAATGCATAAATGTCCGGTCTTTATTAATTAGTTTGTATTTAATATTAAAAACTGACCCTGTAAAAAAACTTTTAAAAAAGCTAGAAAAAACGTTGCTGTTTTTGTATGGCAAAAGTGCTTCTCTCTTTTGTCTTAAAAGTAGGCCGCAACTTATTAACATGAATTTTGAAAAAGACGAACTAGTCGATATGATTTTTGTGTAAGGGGAGACTGATCGAACTTGTTTATTGGCGGCTAGAATTTACGCGATGCGTTATCCAGAAAGAAGACATCTGGATGAGAAAAGCTTCAGGAAACTACTCAATAGATTTATTAAAACAGGAAGTGTACATTATAAAAAACAAGAAAGAACAAAACCTGTTATTAATGAGGAAAAACGAATTTTTAGTGCTATTAACAGCAACTGAGTATCCCATCATTAGCCAAAAAGACATCGGTGAAGCAACCGGCATAACCGAGAGATCAGTACAACGGATTCTAAAGAAAAATTGATATCATGCGTACCATTTTCAGTTGCATCAAGAACTTAGCAATGCTGATTTTCAATATCGTTTCGAATTTTGCACCTGGGCAAGGCTGAAAATACAGGAATATCCTGCGTTTTTTCAGTAAGTTTTATTCACTGATGAGGCGACATTTCATAACAGCGGATCTGTAAACAGGCACAATTTTAATTATTATTCAACTGAAAATCCGCATGTTATGAAACATGCGGATTTTCAGTTGAATAATAATTAAAATTGTGCCTGTTTACAGATCCGCTGTTATGAAATGTCGCCTCATCAGTGAATAAAACTTACTGAAAAAACGCAGGATATTCCTGTATTTTCAGCCTTGCCCAGGTGCAAAATTCGAAACGATATTGAAAATCAACATTGCTAAGTTCTTGATGCAACTGAAAAAATCAGCATCGATGGTATTTGAATGTTTCTGGAGGAATTGTTGGAGGATATGTAGTAGGTCCATATTTCTTCGATGGTCATCTCAATGGGCCTATGTATTTGAATTTTTTGGAAAATGTTTTACCTGGGTTTCAACAAGACGGGGCACCTGCGCATTTTTCGCGAGATGTGAGGGCATATCTTGATGGCATTTTCCCCAACCAGTGGATTGGTAGAAATGGACCCTCCAGATGGCCTGCTAGATCTCCGGATCTGACAATACCTGATTTTTTCTTGTGGGGATAAGTAAAGGGAATTGTTTTTAACGAACCACCTACCACACTTATGAATATGCAACAACGGATTGTAAACGCTTTTGCAAGTTGCGAATTAATTTGTGCCTGAATGAAAATGGAAGACATTTTGAACAATTACTATAGTAACGTTTTTCCTATGTATTTTCAATTTTGTTACCTTTCATGGTTTTTGAATAAAATAATTAATCTTATTATTATTATTATTATTAGTATTATTTATTTTTATTTATTAGATGTCATTTTGACTTTTACACATTTCTTATAAATGTCGACAGTTGTTTTGCCCCAACACTTCCTACTAAGGATCATAGAAATGTAATTAAATAGTTACTTTTGCGAAAAATATTGAATTTTTTAGAAACTATGGGGTTTAGACATAAGATGCCCCATCAAATTAAAGAAAAGAGTAAGACCTATCGAATGGTGACATAAAATAGGGGGCATTCCATTTGAAAAAAATAAGTTACACCACTTTGAAGTTTGCAAAGTTTAGTATTTTTTTCTGAACACCCTGTATTACTAAATTTAAATTGCTCATTATTAAAATGTTGCTTATTAACCGTACTAAGATTATTGCTAAAAGTTATTTTTACTTTTAAAAAACGAGGTCGATACGATTTTTTAAAGTTCAGCTTGCTTTTGCAAGATTTTTTGGAAAAAAAAATTGTAAGTTGACAACACTGTACTTTAATCAAAAAGTAAATGGACAACAATGTAGAGGTTGAAGATGTTATCGGAAAACTTAAATAAATACAGTGTGTTCCATTTAAAAAAATGTATGTTTTTGTTATACCGCAAAAATTTAACACTCTGTATTGTTAAAAATAATTTTTAAACCAATAATTTTTTGTAGAAAACTTTTTTTTCTATCCCTTACTGTAAAGGCACTAGAAAAGCCCGACGCACTGTTGCAGGACCCTGTATTTGTAAAATTATATTAACTTACAGTATTTTCTTTGCAAAGGAAGAACCACATGTGGTTGTGTAGTGCACTAAGATTCTGAGCCAGTTAAAAATTAGATTTTTGAAAATAATCTTTTTGGATAAGAGCTATTTGTAGATAAGTCTGTGTTGCCGATATCGGTGGTAGCCCTATGGAAGTACGAACGTGACCCTAGACACATGATCGTTTGCCTTCAGGTGAGGAGCGTCACTTATTCATTCTTTTATTGTTGACAACTTTAACTTAACTAAGCCACGCTAACAAAATTACTGTCACAACTTACAGGCAACTTACTTGACACTGTTGATGAAAATTATGATAGGGATTATAAAAATTCCAGACAGACACAAGTCTCTATCTAGGGATTAATTTCAAAAATATATTTTTGCCACTTTTGCAGCATAAACTATAAGTTATTTTACACTTATTGCACTAAAAACCTCAAAATTCCGTTTTTTTGACTTATGACAGTGTTGTCGCCCATATGCGATATGTAGCAAATGTACGATTTGGAACTTATAAATCTACCCTGTAATATTTTTAAAACTTAAAAAAGGATAAATCCTCGGATAAATCTTATTTAAGAATATTAAAAATCCTTTTTAAATTTATCATATTTACGTTTCCTGTGGAATAGTACAATATTAAACATTTAAGCAAACATTTTTAAGTCAGGATATGTTATAAAACATTTATTTTGAAAATAAATCCTTTATTTGACAATTCAAACATGTCTTTTGTGATTTTTATTATAAACACGTAAGGGCGTTAAATCGAAGTGAGTGATATTATCGTTGTGAACGACTTTATCCCCCCTAATAAAACAAATTTTCCCTATGTTTTCAAGTCTTATATCGGGTAGGTGAGTTTTAAGTTAATAAAACGAACAAAGAACGTTCCAGTTACCAGAAAAATATGATCGGGTTTATGAGAAAAAGGACACGGCTAAAACTAGCTGCAGCTTTGTCAGGCACTCGAGCGGTAGCACATAAATAACAGGGCCAGAACTCGGGGACCTTCTGGCTGACATTAAAAGTGAAAAACCGCTCCTTTTCTAAATCAGCGTTCAGCACGATTCGCCGAAATAGAGTCCTTACACTCCCTTTGTCTCCACTCTATTAGATAGTTGAGATAATTAACGACTGAATTTATGGTCCGTTGGCTTGCCAAAGAATTTTCACGTACTCACCACCTATTTTAAAGACGAGGTGCAAGTCGTTGGTGTTTTTTTAAATAAAATTTTTAGATATCATCTAAAACTAAGTTAGCAAAAGCATTTTTGAGATATGAAATTCTAAAATATCTTTTTTTGTAATGGAATTATTTAAATTTATTTTAAGTACTTTATAAACCTGGGCGGTAAAATCACGATGCACCTTGTTTAAACCATTTAAAGTCATACAACGTATACCTAAGTATTTAAAATATTTATTTTTTTAAGTATTGTAAACATAGTGCATCTAGAAATTTCGCGCATGAGGTGCATAAAAATTTTTTCCAACAACTTTATTGAAATAATAAGAAGAATAATAAAAAAAATTATTTTTATTTTTTTTGAATTACGTTTTGGGCAATTCCACTATCCTGGGTGCAATATTTAAAGTTTCGTACTCCATAAAATAAAATAAAATAATGAAATTATTCTTTAAAGGGCTATATTTTAACCATTTCTCTTTTCATTAGTTTATAGGAATTTAAATTAAATATATACGAAACTGCTATTTGAATCATATTACAAAAATATCAAAGTCTGTTAATTGGAAAATATCTATTATGTTATGCTATACTATTTTGAAAAATCATGTATAATTTTTGGTGTTCCAATTTTACGGCTTGGAATCGGCGACCAGTTTGGTTTTACAATTATAACACAAATCAAGGATCAAAAAAAATTATAGAAAACAAACAAAAACAATGAATTTTAACTTTCGAAGCAATGCTACGTCAAATTATCGCGGGTTCCTAATCACGATTTATTACAGTTTTCAATTGATTTCGTTTGCAAATCTTCAAAACGCTAGAACTTTCTGTAAGAAAAATAAACATTTGTCTTTTATATCGCGGGTGCAACAAGCTAACAAGAGCTTCTTGTAGGTAGGTTAAGATTAAGATACTGTATTTGTTTCTGGGAGAGCTCACCTCTTTTTACAAAAAAAAAATTAGGAATTGTTTCTAGTCAGGAGACAGATTTTTATTAATTATATTATTTTAACTTGTGTTCTGACTATATGTTTTAGAATTAGCATTTTTATTTATAAAAATAAATCCAAATTAAAATTGGTCAATTTTGTTCGTAATTTTAATACAAGAACCAATAAAGAATTGTATATCCCAATCATAAACCAAGATATTAAAACTAACTCGCCTGACCATTAAGAAAAAAAATTATTATGTTTGGAACTCAAAATATATTAAAAATTTTAAAAATAAATTAAAACAATATTTGCTTTCTTTGTGTTTAAATGAATTTTTTCCCCTGTGATTTTGTAGTATTTATTTAATTTAGTTTAGCCTTTAAGTTAGTTGTAAAACTTTTTTATTGAATTGCAATGTGTGAAGGGTGTTTGATGATAAAACACTACCAGTTCCCATTAACTACTTTATTTACGACCGGTCACGTCTACATTATTCTATAAAACTAATTAAACATTATTTTAACTAAAACTATATTACTTATTATATTATTGCTTACTAAACTAATTCTATAGGTCCGTTGCCATTTGACTGGCAGCAGGAAGTGTATTGGACTCACTATTGCAATCCAAACACATTCTTTAGTATTTGCAAAATTAATCCATTACACCTCCCACGGAAAAGGAAAAAAAAGATTTTTTTCCATTGTGAAAAAAAATCTTTTTTTTTTCAAGCGGCCATGATATACAACCTTATATGCATGTATAGAGATAGTTGAAGTGCGTCTTTTTCATTAGCGGCAGACAAAAAACTCAAAAAAGCCTAGGGATAGAAGTAAATCCATAGGTGACTCAATAGACGTCAAATAATAAAATTAATTTAGCATTTCATACTAAGCAATCACGATGTATTAATTATATTAATTATAATCGCACGGAATATTTAGTGATTATTTATTAAATTTTAATTGAACGAAATAAAGAACAACTAGTTTATTAGTATAATATTATGATGATAGACGAGTCGCCAATGTCGGAATTTCAAACAAATGTCAGTACGTCAAAATTAATTCAAGCGCAGCATTTTGACAGAGCTGTGCTTATTTTTAGTTTAGGATATTTATCGGCATTGTAAGTAAGGGTTATAAGTTTTTTTAGTTTTATCATTAATTTCTAATGCTTTTAGCCAAAATTTTATCCCACATGATTTAATTGAAGAGCTGCAGTGCGTGTAATTGAGGCGTTTCTCGGAAAAACATCATTAGTCCAATATCGTCGAAATTTAGATATTAGCACCAACTGTTTCCTAACCTCCATATATACGTATACAAATAAGTGTTTCTCGTAAAAATGTCATAGGTTCCATAATAATTAAATATGAAATTTAGCTTGTTTTTCTAAAAACATCACAAGTCCACTCCGTTTCGTCTAAGATAGTCACATGCGCATAACATGTGACGTTTTTGGACACTCTAGAAAAGCTTCTACCTCTTTTACATGACCACAGCAATAGAAAATTTTATGATAACTTGATAAAAGACCAGAAGACTATAGCACCTGAGAGTCCTGATAACACGGTCGACAACGATGATAACAGCAGTGGATGCGAAGACTGAGTGTGGCAGTAATACAGTTTTTAGTTTTTTCATTTATTTTGTTACTCAGAGTTAATATTAAGTTTGTAGTGTTTGTAGTAAGAAGAATTGTTCGTTTTTTTCTTCTAAAAACCTCACATGTTCATGTATTTTTTGTGTTTTTTTCATATTTGTTTGAAAAAAAAAACATGAGGAATTCTGGACAAAGTATCTTACATTTTTTTACATGTAGTAAATAGGTCAATAAAATACTTTGGTCAAAAATGGGAATGTCGGAGAGTTTTTTTTATTTTCCCAAATATGTTAATTTTAGACTAAT